TCTTGCATGGGGTACTGTGTCGAATGCCTTGGAGAAATCTAAAATAAGTAGGTCAACTTGCGATCTATTATCAAGTGATTTGGCAATCTCATCGACAGTTATTATCAATTGGGTCTCACAAGATCTTCCTTCGCTTCATTCGCTCAGTAAACCTGCTGTACTGGACGTTAGCAGAAGACGCGCCATGTTTACGAGGGGTAGATAGAAGAATCGGCTTTTTTTCCTCGTAAATGTGAGCCACAGTCAACAAAAGTTACACGAGACGGGGGCTGAAGTTTTCACTTGTTTCTTGCTTGAACGAGAGTTATGCCAAAAGAAACGCGTGAAACCAACACTCAGAGGAAGTAAGGGGAACAATGTATGAGCTAGTGCGAGGACATCTGCATCCTCTGTTGTCCCAAAGTGTTTCAACTAATTGTGTCTTGGCCCGAATGTAGAGTTGTATGAAAAACAGAAGGACTGGATAGAATAACTTCGAACAACTATTCTCACTGGGGAAAACACGCACAAAAGCCTACGTTAGCATCAATCCACTTCCTATAATTCTCAGCGTGGCCCAGGGGGGGTACACGGCATACCCACAGACCTTGTCCCTCAGTTTTAAGAGCAGCCTGCTTGATTCTTCAGCCAGTTCTAGTAAAGTTTAGGTCTCGTCACCCTCGATAGCAGCTCTCGTCCCACCCTCCTCCCCGTAGCGACGGGCATTCCTCGTACTCTCCCGTATCTTATGCATTTAGCCTCATTTGGCTTTGTGTGCAGGTGTTCCAGGTGAGAAATATATTACTTTAGTAAAATCCAAGCAGTGGTCTATTATCAATGCTGCGTTCTGATTGGTTGAGCAACTACTAGGCTATATGTTATAGCCCACTAGTAGCGAAAAGCGCCGGCTTTGAAAACCAAAACAATGGCGGCTAAATCGCGTTTTGCTAGCTAAATTTGTTTTGTCTCGATTAGTTTTAACCCAACAAGTTGGATTTTACTAAAGCAATTAATTATTCCTCTCGCCCTCGTGGCCTCTGAGTCAACCGGCTATTGACTCAGAGCCCATTCGGGCTCGAGGAATAATTGTTAAGTATTCTCTGATGTAATTTACAATGACGAAGTAGAAGCACTGTTTCACTAGCTTGCACGTCACACGTGATTGGAAAACGGCTTTGTTGTTGACCGCAAACCTTTTACCTCCGTATTTGCTTCTCTCTTTGGTTTCGCAATGGAACGTTATTACAACGAAGGAAGAAGGGAGAAAATGAAAACGATATTCCGAACGTTTCCAGACGGTGAACAAGGTCTTGACTATCAGTTTCGTTTGGTCTCCTCTTCAGTCTTTGTTGCATCTCCGTTTTTTTTATTTACTCTAAAGAAAACGCATCTCCCGTGTTCGCTTGTGTTTCCTTCTTTGGTAGACTTTTGTTCACGAGCTGGATTGGATCTCTTGGAATCAGGATGTTCACTTTACACGGGATGCTCTTTCCTATCACAGGTCTGTGCTTGTGTGCCAGTTACGTGCTCGCAAAAATTATTAAAGGAGTCAACAACATTTTGTCACCCATTGCAGATTGATGCCTCTAACTTATAAAAAGAGGAATCGAGTCTGAGAAGAAAACTCACAAAATTTATTAAGCGAACTCTCCTTTTCAGTCTATTGTGCTGTTACAATTCTCTGCTCATTCAGTACTATACCCATTTAGTTTATTATCAGCTAGAAAACCAGCTGCTTTAAGTACAAACTAATGCTGGCAAAAGTCTTCTCTGATTGGTTAAAACAGACTGATAAGCAGGAAACCTGGAAAAATAGTTTTTCTGTCTACGTGTGCACAGTTACACTGTAAGCTTAGGTCATCTGGCCAACACAGTAACAGTGAGAAAAATAGTTAAATTACACCTTTTAAGATTATCTTGTCAAGCTGTCGATCTACAGAAGGTGAAAAGCTTCATCGAAAATTATCGGCTTTACTTTTCCACAAATTAACAGGCTTCGGACGTGATTGGAAAATTCAGGAAGCAAACAAAAGCGCAGTACGTGGCAGAGAACAGAAATTACAACTTAAAATAGATATTTAATTTCATGGTCACCTGAGAAACAGGAGATATCCCACACTATAATCCCGTATTACTTGCAAGTATTATTAATCGAAAACACGGGAAATAGGAAGCTAAGATTGACGAATATAACAATGATTTCCTGAAAATCCAGACGAAAGGTCTTAAGATGTACAAGCTTCTTCTTTTGTTGGAAAGAAGAGTTGCCATGGAAGCTCAGTACTAAAACAGAACACACCTGCTTTACAACGAATTCATGACACTAGTTGTATATGCTTGTCGAAGCTGAACATGAATGTAATTCTAAACAATTAATTAACTGATCAAAATAATATATTAGTAACATTACTTAACACTCGGACAATATATCCCTAAGTTAACCTATTATGCAGTAACCACCTAATTGAAAACATCCCCTTAAAATATTAATTATAGCATAAATCAAACCTGGTTAGGGGGTAACGTAGATCGAAGCTAAACTTTCAATTGCTTGCATTTTTATGGTCGCAAGGCCCCTTTTGATACCTGCCAATGACTTGTCAGGTTTAACGACTCTGTTTCTTGAAGTAACAAGTAGCCTTACGTTATGCCAGACAATACCTTTGTAATAAAGGAATAAATTGAACCCAAATGTCTTCCATGATTACAGTATTGCTGCCAACGGGCATAATTTAACAATTCAAATAATTCCTAGTTTAAAAACATGGTTACAGCATGCTTACCTCCATCGATCCACGGATGTTAAGTTAATTCATCTTCGATAGTGCACGTTTAGGGTTGTTCAGCTCCGCAAATATTCTCCAAATAGCAGATGTCGCCCTTCGAGTTTTCTTCTTGCTATTTCTTCCATGCTTTTAGCTATTTTTTCGCCTAGTTCTTACTCTTGAAACGAGTGAAATGTCCGCCATTTTTCAAGTTCTCAACCAAAACAACTCAACCTCGTTCCCAGGTCTTCTCGGTTAACGGTGCATTAACCTGCAAGAACGCTGCATTTTTGACGTCATTTCCTCACTAAACACAAAATTCTTCCAAATTTGGTCATCAGTAACTGTTTATGGTGAATTAATTGTGTGCTTTTAGCTAATCAGAATCGGGGAAATATTTTGAATGAATAATAATAGTAATTAACAGACCAGCATTTTCAATTCTGAATCAAAAAAGCATTGTTACGGTACAGAGCATGTCTTGAGTAAGACCTGATGTCATATTTATTCAAAAAGCTGAATGCAGTGGTTATAGAAGTCGGTCACAACTATTTTACCACCACTAAGAACAGTTTCTGATCAGTGAGCATTAAAAAGGATAGTGACCGTTCTCATGCGTCTGTTTTTGTAGAGATCTTGAAGCTATTCACGAGTACAGTATTGCTGCCAACGTCCATAATTGGTAACGCAGCAGCATTTTCAATTCTTAATCAAAAAAGCATTATTACGGTACGAAGCATGTCCTAAGTAAGAACTGATGTCATATTTATTCAAAAAGCTGAATGCGGTGATTAATAAAGTCAGACACAACTATTTTACCATCACTAAGAACTGCTGCTGAGACCGGTTCATTAAACTCTCCTTTCCCACTTCCTTTTGTTCCAAACTTAGCGACAAACTTGCCACTCAGATCAAACACCTGAATCCTGTGATTTTGTTCATCACAAACCATCAGGTGTCCCGCTTTGTCCATGGACAAGCAAGACGGCGCGTTGTACTCTCCGTCAGCATCTCCCTTCTTCCCAAATTTATTAAGAAAGTTACCTTTCCTATCAAAGAATTTTACAGAATGATCACCTTCGTCTGATACTATGACATATTTGCCGTGTTGAATACAGTGAAATGGTCTAGTGAAAGAACCCTCTTTTCCAATTTTACTTAAAAATTGACCCCCAGCAGAAAAGATCTTTATCAACTTATTCTTTAAATCAGCAACAAGGATGTTGCCATCACTGTCAATTGATAAACCACAAGGATTATTAAGTTGCCGATCAAGACTTCCTTTTTCACCAAAATGGCTCAGGTATTGCCCCTGTTTACTGACTTCTTGAACCCTATCATTATTTTGTTCAGCCACAATAATATTAGCAACATGAAAAGCTATCCCAGCAGGCCTGCTAAACTCACCAGGCTGTGCTCCCTCTCCACCAAGAGATTTAATAAGAGTTCCATCGCTCTTGAATAAATGGATCTTATGGTTACCAATGTCACTCACTGCAATTTCATCTTCATTTACTGCTACCCCCCAAGGATACTTCAGTATCTGTTCTCCAAAAGATAACACAGGTCTGAACTGTCTGGGTTTGACTTGAACCTCAAAAGGGCTGCCACGGATATGTTCTCCATTAACCTTCACTGATGCACTGCATGTTCCTGTTTCTTTGGCAAAATATTTGATCTTGTAAGTGCCATCTTTGTTATCTTGGACTTGCACCTCAGCTGCGCAATTATCGCTTTGACGATTGCTGATTTCCAGTGTTACAGAGTCGTAATCGTCGTGATACTGTTGGCCCTCCGCGTTTCTTGTTGTCACAATGAGCTGTGATTCAAGTCCAACAATCGCTTCACTGATTCCTTTTCCATCAGCACTTGATTGTTGGGCTCTGGTAATGGAAAGATAATTAAGGGAGCCAATTTGTTCAAGGGATGCAAGATAGAACAACTTTTGATTTTTCACAAAACAGAGTCCCGGAAAACCCCTTTCACAGTCGGCTGTGTCATCTTGGTTATTTTCATCCTTTACTATTTTGTCCAACATATCGCTCGGCTGCATGATTTCAGCGCTTGTGCATCGCTTTATAAGTGTTTCAGTCTTTTCAATATCTGATTCACAAAGTTGACACCCCCTCTGCATGTCGTTCCTATGTATTTCTATTTGTTCAAGAGTTGATTCTGTTTTCCTTTCCAAATTATCAAGGATTTCTAGTTTCTTTGCTTCAATAGCTGCATGAACGCTGTCAGCATATTCAATTACGTTTTTCCTGACACATGCGGCTTGTTCCAGAACTTCATTGTAACGTTCGTTAAGTTTCTCGATTTGACTTTTCTTTGCTTGCGCTTTTTTTTTCTGAGATTCAATCGCAGATTTCAGTCTTAACTTCCGCTCATTTGCAGCCAGTTCAAGAAGCATCTTTGCGTGCCCCTCGTGATCTAACAAAGCACAGGAGTTGCAAATTGCGACTTCGCAGATCTTGCAAAAGAACTTCATTTTTTCCTTTTCGTGGCCTGGAATTCCGCAAAATGTCGGTCGCTTTAAAATGTTCTCAAAGTCTTGGTCTTGAAATTCTTCCAATGCCAGCGCGTAGTGCTCTTTATTCGCCTTGATCCTATTGTGAAGACCAATGCACTCTTCACACCAGAAAGAATAACACTGGAAACAATAATGGCTTTGTTTCGTTCGTTCGTCGCAATTTCCACACTTAACTCCGGTTGTATTGCACTCCCTTATAGCTAATACATCGAGCAAGCTGTTAATGCGAAAGTTTGTTGGCAAAGCTGCTAGGTTTCCATTATCAGGGACATTGAATTCCTGTCTGCACTCCGGGCACGCAATTTTATCTCTTCTGCCACTCGTTCGTTGAATCCCATTCAGACAATGAAGGCAAAAACTATACAAACACGGCAACTGCTTTGGATCGGTGTACTTGCTCATACACACAGAGCATGATAACTCTTCGTGAAGGTTGTTTAACAGGGTTTGAATATCCATAAGGAAAGAAGAATATATAAGAACAAACTGAAAGAAGAAAAACACACGTCCCGCCTTACTTGTCTACAAAGGTCTTTAAAGCATTGTCTTTTGATCTCCAGAAATGAAGCTCCAGACGCTGACCAATCAGAAAGGGTTATTTGAGATATGTCATCAAGATCAACAATTCCGAGAATAACGTTTGCGGGATGGATTCCACATGTTGTTACTTTCTTCGCAACAGCTTAGTAAATAAACTAAACCATTTTGTTATCACGTTTCAGAAACTCGAAAACTCGAAACGACTCAATCCTGAGGAATGAACATCTTTCCAATTTCCAACTGAACACTTGGGTAATCTTCCCTGAGGGGGTATTTATAGGCACCTCATTTTATAACACTGTACCCTGGCTCCAGAGGTCCGCTCTCGAAAATAAAAGAAACCTCTGGCACCAAAGTTACGTACACTGTGGACCGTAGTCTAAATTGGTCCTTTTTTTCTCTCCCCTTCCCTAAATATGTCGGACAGCCACCCAGCCTTCAAAAATGGCGTATTCTTTTCGGCTCATAGTATAGAAAATTTAAAGGCTCCTCTTAGCCTGCGTAGCCAGCGTTTTTGCTCTCGCTCTTATTTTCAAGTAGTTTCTCTGCCGTAAATGCTACTCAGGAAAGCTCCTCAGAGATGCACACAGGTCAGGTTATATCCATTCTCATGTTAAGAATATACTATTACCGTTCGTGACTGAGAGGAGCGATTACGATCTGTGTTTATGAAATACTTGTCTTTTAATTTAATGCCACGGGACATTGATTTTGCCATTTCAATGGCCATGAGTAAGCATACCTTATTAACGCTAGCTGTCAAACTAGCCGTCAAGTTCAATGGCGGGATTCTTTATATGTTTGTACCGCAGACATAAAGTGCAAACAATAGTTCACCGAATCGATAAATTGTCGAAACGGAAACCCTCCAAGCCTGATCTAAAATTCCGTTATGTAACAAACGAAAGGTATGACAGGGGAGTCGATAGAGGGCTCGTGTAACTCCTGTATGGTTTCGCGATATTTGGACCATGTACTCATGCTGGACTAGTGTCGATAGCTGTGCTGGTAGTAGCACCGCGCGATTGCTAGTGAATAAAACTCCCTAGTTGCATTGCTTAGGGCGCAGTCTGCGGACCCTCCAACTCTGTCCTGAAATTTTGATTCAGAGAGCAAGTCCTATAGGCAGCTGTAGTCTGGCGGGCCCGCAACTTTGTGCAGAGCTCGTGTGAGTGGTCTTCATGGAGGAAGCTCACTTTTGCAATGTTGCTTGCGAGCCTTTCTTATAGCAGAAGTGTGTGTTGTGGAAGAGCTTGCCTCTGGAGGTTCAGCATTTGACATCCCTTAATATCTTTAAAGGAAAATATTAAATAACTTAATTTCGATTACGGAAAATACTTAATAGGCAATGTAACCTTTACACAAGGCCTTCTTGTAAAGCAGGTTTTTTAATATTTTAGTTTTTATATTAGATTCTAGTTTAATTAGGTCGTTAGTTTTCTATACTTGAATGTTTATGTAGCTGAAGGAAATACCGCGTAGAAATAAATAAAGTTACCTACCTATCTACCTACTACTTATTAGTAGTCCAAGGGCAACGAACTGCGCGCGCGTCACCTTCAGAAAGAAACTACGTTAAAACTGTCCCTATATCCATATAATTTATACGGAAATATACTCTGTACTCTTTTGAAGCTAAAATTTGTGTGAAGATTAGTTTTCAGCTGCTCTAATACATCGTGAAAGTAAAATATCGGTTCTATCGATGGTTCTGTAGCTTAAATTTTAGTGACATCATGTGAAAACCAACAATAGTGCTATCCATGTGAATAAACCTCTATCCACTGGATAGCGCCATGGTTTTTCCCAGTACTTATCCGCTTGATAGTGATTTAACTGCGCTGGGGCCCGGTGATGAATGGGGTGTAAGAAAATGTACATGAAGAAGCAATATAATTTAAAAACTGAACGTATTTCGAGTAAAAATTAAAATGCTTTAATTTCTATCCTCGTCTTTCTCTCGGGACACATGGAAAATGGGTTCAAGAATTGGGTGCAGTGATTTCTGGAATCGTTTAGGTTGGCAAGTGTTAGTTATCATTCGTCGATGGTATTCCAGGCATTATCAAGAGAGAATAGCACTAACCAATCATAATAAGTAAAGCTTGTCCACCCAAACGATTCCAGAAATCGTTGTGCCGAAAGCTTGTACCCACTGCAGTTATTGCGCATGTGCGCAATGGCGGGATCTGGGCCATCCTCGGAGACCCAGGGGCGGTCAGTCGGGCCGGGAGAAAAGGCGCGACGAAAGTTTTCAAGTACGGGCGAAAGAGCCCCTGGGTACCGACTCTTAACGAACCATTTCCAAAAATTCAAACGGATGCCGGCTTCCGATTGGGCACAAAAAAACCTTTGTATTATTGTGCCCAATCAGCGAAGAGCATCTCCTGAGTTCTTTTCATGTGTTCGTACACGACCGCTATTATCTCGCCATACTTGTCTGGCTCGTTCACCAAAGAAATGCACGCAATCAGGAAACTTTCAGTTACAGAACATCCTCGTCCATTTGAAAATACTGTCTTCCCGAAAACTAACAAATGGAAACGCATGTGAGGGTATTTTAAAGCTTGAGCTTTCAAGACGTATTCAATTCAAGCTTTCTATCGATCAGGCCTTCTNGAAATGCACGCAATCAGGAAACTTTCAGTTACAGAACATCCTCGTCCATTTGAAAATACTGTCTTCCCGAAAACTAACACATGGAAACGCATGTGAGGGTATTTTAAAGCTTGAGCTTTCAAGACGTATTCAATTCAAGCTTTCTATCGATCAGGCCTTCTATTGACGTTATTTACGATACCTTGCGATCGGTCAGAAGCAGAATTTTCTTGGTGCAAATAGGAATAGTCATCCGAAATGTTTTTCCGAGTCATCGATAGTTCCTTCGTTTCTGTTTAGGGAAGCAGAAAGTGAAAGTTTCCCTTGCGAATATACACGCACAGCGTTGGTGAACGAACCAGACAAGCACGGCGAGATAATAGCCGTCGTGTACGAACACATGAAAAGAACTCAGGAGATGTTGTTCGCTGATTGGGCACAATAATACAAAGGTTTTTTTGTGCCCAATCAGGAGCCGGCATCCGTTTGAATTTTTGGAAATGGTTCGTTAAGAGTCGGTACCCAGGGGCTCTTTCGCCCGTACTTGAAAACTTTCGCTCGCGCCTTTTCTCCCGGCCCGACTGACCGCCCCTGGGTCTCCGAGGATGGATCTGGGCTGACTACATCTACATTTAGATTTTCACTTTGAGTATGTGCGTATTTGCTAAGACACGCCCTCTTAATATGTCCCTCTTTTCTGACTTTGCGTTATTCGCATTCTCATTCAATAGGCCACTTGCACTAAGAGGTCACGTGACCAATGCTTCCTTTAAACAATGAGTTGGAATCTTGCTGATGCCATAAAAACGATGTCACATGACCCCTTAGTGCAAATGGCCTATTGTTTCGATGTAATTCAGTGCTTTTTAATGGCTCTCTGGACTATTTCAAGTCAAAAATAGAATAAAAAAATAAAATCAACAAATTTGAAAAATTGTGATCTTGTATCTTGTTTGCAAAATAGAGTCTCCATGACGACAACAACCACGCATAAAAGGGAAAAACACCACGCGAAATACGTCAGTTGCGTTGAAGCTAGTTTCAAAAAATGGGCTCGTCTTGTTCAATTTCAAGCTCTTACAACGCCTCCCATAACTTCAGCAAGCATTCTAGAAATGGTAATAACACAAACAGAGTATCAGAGACTATAAGCAGTCAATCGCGAGGCGAGGTTATTGAAATAATGAGCGTTTCAAGCGAAGAAAAAATTTCAACTTCAAAGGCGGTATCATCAGTTCCGTCATTTCAGTGGCTCGTGTCATCTCCGATTGTAGATATAAAAGAGCAGAAATATTATAATGGACGAAAAAATCGAGCTGTGGAGAAAAATGCGACGACAAACTACAACAGAGGCGAATATTTGAATTCCTGGAGGCATCCAGCGCAGATTCCTAAACAACATAATGATAGTATTCCTTCATCTTGTCTCTATCGTACGTCAGCAGCAAGCGATGTAAGCGATCATCTGTCGTCGAGATGTAGAAAGGACGAAAAGAAAAATCAGTGCTTGGGACGTATCCCTTCAGCTATGGATGAAGATGAGGCTCTGATTGGATTTGGAGTTCAGAAAAAGGTCACATTTTCAAAATCGTGCCTCTGAGGTAAAGGGGTATCCTTTAGTGTAGTAGGCTAGGGCAAGGTTTTTTTTCCTTATTACGGTAAAGTACGAAGCGTATTGTCCAAATAGTATATATAGTATTGGAAATAATAATTCACTTTCCATTAACGTAATAAAAACTTGCTTGCCATTTTTTTTAAGCTAAAGACCACAAGCTATTTATTTTTTCAGTTGTGTCAATTGATGAAGACATGTTGTTATCGTATTTAGATGTTTATTTGCTGTTGATAAAATTAGAAAAAACACGAATATGTATAATGGAGTTAGAGAAATGGCAAGAAAAAGATGTTTTCTATTTCTGTTGTCGCATAAAACTAACAATAGTTACAATAACATGTAGAAAAATTATTTTTGAATATCGAAGGCTACCAGCTATTTATGCGAGGGATATGATAGGATATGTTATTATCAATTGAATTTATTTATATATTAACCTACCATTTTTAGAATCAGAAAAATCGTGATCTTGAAAAGAACGAAGAACGAGAACCGAACGGGCATAACTAATTTATAAAGAAATGGAAATAAAGATATCAATTAAATATTTTTCGCAGCAAATTACGAATGTATATCAGTAATGTTGTGTTATCCAGTGTCTAAGCCCAATCTTGTCGTGGTATAACTAAAAAAGGCTTTCTGTACCTTCCTAAACTTGCACCGATCAAAGACAAGAAGAAGAAAAAAGTTGTGAAGTATCAAGATC